CATCGACAATATTTCAATGGGGACCGCAAAGTAGACTTTAACGTAAACAATAATTTAAATGCATCCGTTCACTTCCAATAGAAACAGGATACAGGATACTTATGCGTATAGTATTTTGTATCTATATAGTAAAATGGTCAACTGCAGGACACAAGTCCTTCTTCCAGCTTCCGAAAAAAAAACATTTGCTTCAGCCGTAAAAGCACGGTTATGTTTGAAATTAAGTCATCGACATTTGGTTTAGAAGTTGTTAATCAAATATTCTTAATTTATCTTCCGGCATGTTTATTTTTGGTTTGTATAAACGACTGTTAACGTCATAATCCAACTACTTTCTTACGTCTATACTTTCGCGGACCATCAGACTTTAGCGTATGGAGGCATCGCACTTTAGCGCAGACCATCGCACTTTAGCGTGACCATCGTACTTTAGCGTTCCCATCGTACTTTAGAGTCCTACATATATATTCTTGCATATATTGGCCATGTATCAGGCTTCATGTCAGCATGCTATACAATGTAATGCGTTTTGATATTCATCGCTCATCAACTTCATGTTAACCCATTACTTATTTCGTCGCATTTTCTAGTAAACAACGAATAAGATCTTCTTCCTGAACAGTCTTCATATGAACAGGATATACCTTGTGATGCTGTTTTAGATTCACCAATTATCAACTTCCTGTTTACTAAATACTTGGGACGTTGCGCACGATGTTGGTACGAATTCAATTTTGCTTATTATAATAATCATCATTAAAAGCAAAGAGTAGACTGGTCAGCTCGATAAAATTATTGTGATTTTTGGTTGAATTGAGTATAATTGGCTTAAAATAAAGAAAAAAATAAGAATTCAGATTTAGATGTTAATTGCCATGTATGCCGAAACATTCGTCACATTTTTCCAGGAAACTAAAAATAAGAGCTTCCTGGAACTTGTTGTCAGTATTGATTAGAACAGTCAGAGAAAAAACTATCACCTTGCGCAACACCAAAATTTAAGTATCGACAAAATATAGGACCGTGAATTTACATATGTGTATATCAATAATATTTAGTAGGGTATTAATTCATTGACAACAAAATCAATAGTTTTACCGATAAAAAACAATATTAACAGATCTAATTACAATGTTAAATTGGTAACCTGTTAGAATAAGTTTATTTAAAGGATAGTTAAGTTTACCTGGATCGTGCTTACGTTTACGGGCTCGATATAAACAACATCACCGTAAAAATTAGAATGTACTATCCCGTTTATAATACGTTTACAGCCAAACTTGCAAACAAATGTTTGTATCGATGAAAAAATTCAGTAAAGGTTATAAGCAATTTGTAGTAGCGAAATCTTGACTTCATAATTTACCAGTAATTAATAGATTACGTTGATTTAAACCACAAACCGTCACGACAGACACCGGCGTAGCTTACGAGTGGTGATATATATAAATTTCGAAGATGGTACCAATTTGCAAAGGAAAATCACCTTCCAAAAAGGGAAAACTAACAATAGGGAACGAAAAATAGACCCTTTTGTCGAAAAATTTTCTGTCACGTTCTATGCCTCGTGTAGCGACAGTGCCACCGTCTGTGCATGTAAAATATCAATTGACTCAACTCTTTCGGGGGTCCATAGGGGCCTGTTGAAAGGCAGAATGTCTGCCCGTCTAACATAATTCTCAAAATTCCAGTCGAAATTCGTGGTTTCATTCTTGTCTAGCCAGTTCGTAAAACCAATCTGTTGGATTATAAATAATTTAGTTTTGATTTGAAAATGCATGAAATATTTTTCACTTAGGATGTAAGGCAAACAACAATAAATCAAAACAACAAAAAATTGAAAACAACACGTTTAATAATTTCATGCGTCCGAAGCGTTTTTCTGGATTTACCTTCATCAGGAACGCTCAAAGTCAAACATTTGAAATCCGAGGGATGTATAAGTACCGAAACAGTTGAAGAGCTATATGACAAAAATACCTAAAACAAATAGCCAAATCCACCTAAGGTCAACTTTGCCTGAGGGAGTTGAAACCTTAGTTTCTTTATAATTTCAAAATTTATAAACGGGCAATTTTAGAAAAAGTTTGTTATTAATCATGTCAGTACCGAAGTACTGACTACTGAGCTGATGATACCCTCGGGGACTGATAGTCCACCAGCAGAGGTATCGACCCAGTGATGTAAAAAATTGAAAACAACACGTTTAATGATTTCATGCGTCCGAAGTGCTTTTCTGGATTTACCTTCATCAGGAACGCTAAAAGCCAACCATTTGAAATCCAATGGATGTATAAGTACCGAAACAGTTGAAGAGCTATATGACAAAAATACCTAAAACAAATAGCCAAATCCATCTAAGGTCAACTTTGCCTGAGGGAGTTGAAACCTTAGTTTCTTTATAATTTCAAAATTTATAAACGGGCAATTTTAGAAAAGTTTGTTATTAATCATGTCAGTACCGAAGTACTGACTACTGAGCTGATGATACCCTCGGGGACTGATAGTCCAACAGCAGAGGTATCGACCCAGTGATGTAAAAAATTGAAAACAACACGTTTAATAATTTCATGCGTCCGAAGCGCTTTTCTGGATTTACCTTCATCAGGAACGCTCAAAGCCAAACATTTGAAATCCGAGGGATGTATAAGTACCGAAACAGTTGAAGAGCTATAGGACAAAAATACCTAAAACAAATAGCCAAATCCATCTAAGGTCAACTTTGCCTGAAGGAGTTGAAACCTAAGTTTCTTTATAATTTCAAAATTCGACGTTTTGCATTTGTTAATGTTGAAAACTCTTTTACGGTGTCGGTCTACACCTATTAATTGTAGGCTCCCAATCTGTATAGCAGCCTTTGAACCGCGCTGAGGCTTTTACTCCTAAGCCTTAAATCGTTTGTTTACGAAAACCCGTGAATTTTCCCCAGTGTACATGTATGTTTTCCTGATATGTAACCCTAACTTAAACATTGATACCATTAATCATCTTTTTAAACACCAATTTAATCCCTTTGGGAGTAACCCTTAGAAAGGTTTTCATCTACCAGATAGGCTACAAGCACAGGGACAATACAATATGACATTAAGACCAACAAGGTATCAATAACAGGAAACTGTTCAAAAAGACAAGTATATAAGATGTGGCAAGCTAAAGCAGACGGTCACAGGACAAAAAGTCACAGGACAGAAAGATACATTGTTTTCTTTTTTATTACATATATTCATTTTACAGTTAAGAAATTGTTCATAAGCCTTGATAAATGGAGATTGAATCATTTTTGTCTCGCCTTGACGGAGTCAAAAAGCGAGACATAGGTATGCTGTTTCCGGCGTCGGCGGCGTCAACAATGTATTAGTTTGTGATTAGGTCTAGTTTATGGTGAACCACTAGTGGTAGGTCAATGATATTTGGTATGCAGTTGTATTAGCATTGGCACATCTCATTACCATGTAGATTATTTGGCCATGCCCCCTCAGTCATGGTCTATTGACTTCTAAACTTTGCTTAGTTTACACGTATTAGTTTGTGATTAGGTCAGTTTATGGGGAACCACTTGTGGTAGGTCAATGATATTTGGTATGCAGTTGTATAAGCATTGGCATATCTCATTTCCATGGAGATTATTTGGCCCCGCCCCCTTAGTCATGGTTTATTGACTTTGAAACTTTTGCTTACTTTTCATGTATTAGTTTGTGATTAGGTCAGTTTAAGGGGGACCGTTAGTGGTAGGCCAATGTTAATTGGTATGCAGTTGTATAAGCATTAGCACATCTTATTTCCATGGAGAATATTTGGCCCCGCCCCCTCAGTCATGGTCTATTGACTTTGAAACTTTTGCTTAGTTTACATATGTATTAGTTTGTGATTAGGTCCGTTTAAGATGAACCACTAATGTTAAGTCAATGATATTCGGTATGCAAATGTATTGGCGTTTGCAAGTTTCATTTCCATGGAGATCATATAACCCTACCCCCTCATTATGGTTTCTTTGACTTTGAAACTTTTACATAGTTTACAAGTTAATGTTTGTGTTTAGGTTTGTTTAAAGGGAACGACTTATGAAAAGTCAATGGTATTTGGTATGCAGTTGTATTAGCATTGGCACATCTCATTTCCATGGAGATTGTTTAGCACTGTACCTTCAGTCATGGTTCATTGACTTTGAAAATTTGCATAACATGTTAAAGTATTGCTACTTTAATTTCAACATTTGCATTATCAAAATAATAAATAGGCGAGACATATCTCTGTGATAACAGTTTATTTATCATGCTAAGGCTATATTTCTTGGCACCATGAAGCCATTTAAGTACCAAGCTACTGTGACAAATTGTTTTCTTAACAATTGTTTGATCATTATTGATTTTTTTAGTGTTTTCTTATTGAAAGAAAAATAATCTCATAACTGAATTGTGTCTTTTTGTTCAGTACTTTTGGTCCATTACTTTTCTTCTGTGGCTATTTTTTTCTGTGGCCTTATGTCGTACATTCATAGATGTATAACTTTATAATAATTTATTGATTAATATTGCCAGCTTGCAAATGTCACACACCTTATGGCCAATAAAACCATATACTAAAGTAATTAAGCCAGGAATATGACAGTTTTTCCCATTCGTTTGATGTGTTTGAGCTTTTACTTTTGCTTTTTGATAAAGGACTTTCCATTTTGAATTTTCCTTGGAGTTCGGTATTTTTGTTATTTAATTTTTTTATATAAAGACGGCAATTAAAGGTATTAACTTTTCGGTTATCAATCATAACATTCAACCAATGAAATAAGACTTGACATGAACATTGAAATTATAAAATTATGGATGAAAAATGTAACCAGTAAAAATTTCATTTATAATGTTAATGTCAGGATATACCAGGTGAAGTATCACACATGTGCTAATACTATGAGGATGAAAACAAAAAAGACAATAATTCTTGCAATTGTGTTTGCAATATCATTACTGACTTATAAAATATGTTGCAATAACAATTTTGTTTTTATGGAGGAAACACCACATCGCTACAGCAAAGACATAAGTTTTTATATTTCAGAAGACGAAGAAACACCAAAACCCAAAGGAATTATACATCAGAAAATAACAAAAGCTAAAGGTATAAATAATAAAACACTATTTAAAGGAATGAATATTACTACAGAGTTTGAATACTTTTATCTTAACGTATCACAAGAAAGACTAAACGATACGTTGCTCCACAAACATCAATATAGAACATTATTGAACAACGATTTGAAATGTAATGGAAAAAATGTATTTCTTTTGGTCTTTGTTCATGTTGCATCGCATAAGTTTTTGCGACGACATCTGATTCGGTCAACATACGGATCAATTTCAGAATTTGAAAATCAACATATAGAATATATTTTTGTACTCGGACAAACCTCAAACATAACTGTTCAAAGAGAAATAAATGACGAAAGTAGGAAATATAAGGATATTGTACAAGGTAATTTTGTGGATTCCTACAGAAATTTAACATATAAACTCGTATTTAGTATGTTTTGGGTTAACAGTTATTGCAGCAGAGCCAAATACATTGTTAAAGTCGACGATGATCTAATTATCAACATTCCATTTTTAATGCGACATCTTCAACAAAAAGCAAAATACAATGTGTTTACAAATGTTCTTGAATGTATTCCACATTTGGCATCTGAACCCAAAAGAAACGGATGGAAGACGGATATATCTATATTGGATTATCCTTTTCAAACATTTCCACCATACTGTTCTGGAGCCTCATCCATAATGTCAATGGATGTTATTAGAAAAATGTATGATTCAACTAAACAAGTACCTTTCATGTGGTTGGAAGATGTGTATGGGGGTGGATTTCTTCCTTGGGTTTCAAATATTAAAATGCAATTACCTAGATGTTTTTATGAGCGTGTGGGTGACAAGTTCAATGATATATCGTGTAGACTAGTTTATTTAACAGACAACATTAGAATTCAAAGAACTGTGTGGGAAACAATATCAAATCGAACGAAGTTTCAATGCAATTGTTAAAATAAACAATGAGTAAACAAAAAGAGGAATATTTTCAAAGGCGCAAAATGTATAAACTACTGTTATTGTAATATTGTATGGGTAAGAGCAAAAGTGGAAATCAGTTTAAAAATTGAAAAATATAATATTTACTGTAAACAATTAAAAACCCCAACAACAAACATAACAAAGAAGGAAAAGTAAAAAGAGGTCATGCACCAAGAGCCTGTGGTCAACATCATAAAGTCGCTGAAACTGGCACTTAACACCGATAAACAAACAATTAAACATGTATTGATAACAAAGATATTTTCTAACGCTTAAACATTAAGCTTGAATGCAGTTTTGATGCAATCGCGAATTTTTCATGTTTTTTCCTGTATATTTTTACATTACAGTGCCCTTCTTGTAAGATCAAATCAAGTATCATCTCACGAGCAACAAAGTATTTAGTTATCTAAAAATGCTAGGTGTTCGAAAAAAGAGTATGTTTTGAGGTTAACACATATTATAAACTCAGGTACAACAGAAATGTAATGCATCAATAGTCTTCTGTTCATCTCTTGGTTTAATTTCAACCGAGCGATGAATATCATAACCATTTTTGATTATATGCCTATGACGTGGATCGATACTTATACATCCCGCCATTGTGTTATTGTGCTATGGTCAATTTTGAGTTCTTGTCTTTCATTTTTGCTTATGTACTTTGTCTATATGCCATTTTGTGTTTCTTTGTTGAAACAGTTATTTGTTTTTATAGTGATTAAGGTTATATTACAATGTTGACTGTGGTACCCCAATTTTTGACGTTTTTACCTATTATGTCTGTTTGTTTTGCTCACACATTGTTGTCAATATAATGGAATTCTATGCGACTTTCATAGTGAGATGTTTAGCTAGCTATAAAACCAGGTTTAATTCACCATTTTCTACATTAGGAAATGCCTGTACCAAGTCAGGAATATGACAGTTGTTTTCCATTCGTTAGATGTATTTGAGATTTTGATTTTGCCATTTTATAAAGGACTTTCAGTTTTGAATTTCCCTTGGAGTTCCGTATTTTTGTTATTTTTCTTGGTTAAAATTGAACCCTAGATTATTTTATTTTTTGTTGTTCATCCTGTGGTTAAATTTAACCCTTTGTTAAATCCTTGGTTGAATGATTTCAGATTTAACCTTGCTTACATGAAGGACCTCAGTTAGAATTTAATCAAAGGAATAGTGTTGTCTAAAAGTACGATTGCCTATTTATAACTAAACTTGAAATAGATATAGGAAGTCGTGGTATGAGTGCCAATGAGACAACTCTCCATCCAAGTTACAATTTATAAAAGTAAACCATTATGGGTCAAGGTACGGCCTTCAACACGGAGCATTGGCTCACATCGAACAGCAAGCTATAAAGGGCCCCAGAAAAATACTAGTGTAAAACCATTCAACCGGAAAAACAAACAGTCTAATCTATATAAAAACGAAAAACGAGAAACTACATAAACAGACGACAACTACTGTAATCAGATTCCTGACTTAGGACAGGTGCAAACATTTGCAGCGGGATTAAACGTTTTAATGGTATCAAACCTTCTCCCCTTTCTGAAACAATAGTATAACATCACAACATAGAAAAACACTCATAAAATATCAATTGGAAGGCTTAACTCAATCAAAAAACGTAAATTAACACACAATGAACGAATAAATTTGACCTGTGACACCAAATGCAAATACAGTTAATAAAAAAATTACAAGGGATAAATACTTAAAGTCAAAAGTAAATAAAAAGGTTTAAACAAAGTTAAAGTATGATATCACTGTGAAATGTCAAACAATTTTTAGAAAATAATCACTTTTGAAGAAACCTGCGTCATATTATACACAGGTAAATGAAAATAATTTTGTTGTTAAGTATACTTCTTCTTCTGTGTGTACCAAATCTTCCGTTTAGGAATACCAAGAAATTTCTTTAATATCAATAAAATTAATCTAACACTTGGTACATATGGGGTGAATATCAACAATAAAACTATAAATTAGTGCTAGATAAAACTTCCTGTACAGGTCCAAGAACAGCATCTAAGGAAAAATGAAATAATTTTGATGTTCATAGTACGAAGAAATGAAAATTTGTAGTAATACCAAATAATCAAAGCTGGTATATAGACAAGATCCATGTTAACATTAAATAACAAAAAAGCATTACAAATAGTAACAACAGGTCAAATTAAAAAGAAAGTACGATTTGAGAGTACTCGCAGTTACTGACAACTAGTTAAAAGCCAAAACAATTAATAATAAAAAATCATGCATCAGAGACTAAAATCAACTAAAATACATCCCAGGGATTTAGTATTTTAACGTCATGAACAGTCAAAGAAGACATGACTTGTGCAATGCCAAAAATAAATGTATCGACAGGTCGTAGGATAGTTAGGGATGACTTCTTTATAGATAAAAATGAACGTGTGTGCGTCTCTATACACCCCGTTTGAAAAGAAAATACAAATTTAGCTATGTTTTAATTTGCTAATGACAAAATCGATATTAGTGCCAATGTAAACTATATTCAGAGATCTAATTACAACATTGGTACGATAACCCTTACTAATAAGTTTGTTTAAAGATTCTATGAGTTTACACGGATCACATAATGATTTCCGCGCTTGAAGTACAATATTACCAGTAAAATTTAGGATGTGAAATACCATTTTTAATAAGTTTTCTACAGGTACAGCCAAATTTGCTAATCAAATCTTTGTATCTATGAAAGAATTTAGTAAAAGTTTTAAGTAATTTATGGTAACGAAATCCCTGACTTAACAATTTACCAGTGATGCATTGATTACGTTCGTTAAAATCTATGACATCATTACACACACGGGCATACCGAACGAGTTGGAATATATATAGAAACACCGTATGATGGAGCCAAAGGCACATTGCCGTCTTAAAAAAGGAAAATTAACAATGAAAGGTCAGTAAACGTTTGATGCAACATATTCTTCGCTTTCTACGACCATTAGTAATTAAAAAAACTGATTTGTAATGGTGGTCACTTTGTTTACTTGTTAATTATTCCATTTATTTGGGGAAATTGTTTAAAGTTAGTATTTTTTATAGTTCCGTAACTATTTCTGCCGAGTATTTTTTATAGTTCCGTAACTATATCTGCCGAGACCGGCCATGTAAATATTCTGTCGGGTTACTTCCTGTTTCTTGCACGTGCCTGAAATCCCGGCTGGGCTCGTTGTCCCTAGGAACTATAAATATGACGTCACTCACCGGGTTCAGAGCAGTCTACCGTTTATAATTTAAAATAAGCAAATGCTCATACTTTGGCTCTAGCCGCCACTTATTTAATATTTATTGTATGCAAACTTGTGTTCAACCATATATGTCTTTAAAATAAACATCTTGTTTATGTGTATTTTCGACGTTAAAACACATAACATCTAAGGAATGTTGGTATTGAGGAACCAATATGGATTTCTCATTGGTATTCTAATTCTAAAAAAAACCTGTTTAGTTTGTTTATTCAGTCTTATTGAATCGTTTTATTTATATTTATTGTCATAATTGGATTTGGACTTGAAATTATTTTGGATTATAAAGTACGTTTTGTACTTGCATTTCTGTCAGTTTTGTCTATATCTAGTCTTGTCAGTGTGGATGTAATAGCAATTATTTTTCTTTCTTGAAAAGGAGAGAATCGACAATATTTCAAAATGTCAAAGTTGTACCTTAAATGTTGTGCTTTCATAGATATGGACTCTTTACTGGAAATTTGTCCGGTTGATATTCTTGTAAAACTTGAAGGATTTAAAAATACAGTTTTGTTTTATCTAGATTTTATCATCTTGTTGTTCATATTTACTTTAGTATAGACCTCTAAATGGTCTATTAGAAATAACTGGATTAATTTCGGTTCGGTGGGATTGTATGAAAGGCCGTTCATGTAAAAAACCCGATAAAGTAACGCGTTAAAATTTAACGCGATAAATACAGTTTTAACGCGTTAAAATAGTTTTAACCCGTTATTTGATTATTTAACGCGTTAAGCACTTAACTACAAAAAATGACCGAAAAAACTTTCTACTTTTGCCCTACGTTTTAAGGCTACAGATTTTACTCGAAACTTACTAAATGAAATGACTGCATGTGTCATATCTTTGTCAATTAACGCGATTATGTTACAGATTTTCCGCACATTTAAATTTTAATTACTTATTGCGTTAAAACAATAATTAACGCGTTATAAGAAGATTTAATGCGTTAAAAGAGGATTTAACGCGTTTTTTAAAAAAGTTATGGAAAATATTTAATTATTAATGTGTCGTTTTAAATCAACGTAAACGCGTTAAAAGCATCGTTAACGCGTGAAAAGCTACTATCTACTTTAACGCGTTAAAAGCTATTTAAACGCGTTAAAACCATCTTACTCGTTAAAAGGAAGTTTAACGCGTTTAAAGCAAATTAAAAGCGTTAAAAGCAAAAATAAAAGCGTTAAAAGCCACGTTAACGCGTTAAAAGCAACGTCAACGCTACTTTAAAGAAATTTAAGCTTACTTTTTATGCATATATGCACTGATCACGTTAATAAAGGGTCATCTAGATTTACCTTTGTCAGCCTGTCTTTGGGTGCTATAAACAGTTTCGTATAAAAAAAACTAGAGGCGTTTCCCCAGTGAGATTTTCATATTGGAGGAATTCCTTGCTATTTATATACCACTGATGAAAAAATTTGATTGTTTTTTTATATTTATTGTGAAAAACATATATTAAAGTTCAATTTCAAAGCCACTTTTGTCAAGATTTTTTAATAAAAAAAAATGTTTTTGTGGCTTTTTATATGATGGGAGGCAACTCCATAAACATCTGATTTTCACCTGTTGCAAAAAGCACTTTGATTTGTCAGGTAAGATAGCTCCTTTCGGAGCAGGCGAACGTACCCTGAAACTACATGATCTAAAATCAGCCGGACAAGCTCTTCGAAATACATATTATTAGAAACCTCAAATATG